TCGGAGTAATAAGCTAATAAGGATGAAATTTGCATTGGAAAGCGTGTTTTAGCACTTTGTAAAAAAGTGAGATTTTAAGTCCGGATGAGTACTTTGCCAGTATTATGCCAGTATTATTCTAGTACTACGTTAGTACTGGTGAGCGGGACAAAATCAGTACTGGACAGCGTTACCAGCCAGGGTTGGTCCACTACTGGCCCAGTCCGGCAGTCAGTACTATTATACTGACTGGCAGTGTTGGGTCAGTACTATGCCAGTGGCACATTTCTACTTGGGATATGACAGGAAAATTATGACTGACTTTTAAAATGACTCATTTATATTTGAAAGTGCATCAATTTATCAGTGAACGTTTGATAATTTTCAGATCAATATATATATATATATAAAGTTCCACACGTTTTGTTGCAAAACATTTTGCTGCAGATATACATACACACACACATATATATATATATAGTTGATTCATTCGTCGAACCGTCTTCTCTACCTATTCAACTGTCGGGCTTTAATCAATAAGGTGTCACAAAGTTAACGATTCATGCTGGGTTTCCAATCACGATGACGTACGAGCTTAATGTAATCACGACTAATCACGGGATATTTCAATTGAATATGGCTACAATAGCCTGTGATGTGTGCGGTTTGCTATTATCAAAAGAACTCTCTGGCAGCATTTTATAAACAAACTTTATAATTGAAATTTTCCAAAATCATCGCGATAATTAACTATCGAACCATCGACACACTAACTGGAGGTTATTATAATTTGAGTACAATTTTTTTAAAAAATAAAATAATAAAAAAAAAAATTATCATCAAGGAGAAAAAGTTAGCTACCGCAGCTAATTTTTGGCAATCTTAACTAATATTTAGCTACCTTAATTAATATTTGGCTACATTAGCAAATATTTATCTACGTTACACTCAGAAAAAAATTCGTTTGAAGCAACCAAATTTTGGTTAAATCAACAAAATAAATGCATTGATATACAGTTAACCAAACATTTGGTTGCAGAATCCAAACGTTTATTTAGCTCAATCAAATTTTTTCTTTGTTTCAAAAAAATTTATTTAAATAAACCAAACAGTTATTTAGATCAAATAAATATTTATTTGAATTAAACAAATTTTTGTTTGAACTAACCAAAAAATTGGGTAAATATAAAAAAATGGTATATTTGGTTCCAACATATCTTTTTTCTGAGTGTACCAAATATTTAGCTACCTTAACTAATATTTAGCTACACTGAGAAAAATGTTTAGTCAGAGCAACCAAAATTTGGTTTAGCCAACAAAAAAATTTTGTTGGTATTTAAACTATTTGTTTGAGACAACCAAAAAATTTGGTTGAGTGTCTTTTGTTGGCATAACAAAAATGTTTGGTTAGCTCAACCAAATATTTTTTGTTAGGTCAACAAAAATGTTTGGTTGATCAAACAAACAGTTTTTTTGTAAAATTAAAAACTGTATTCTACCTTATTTCTTTTCCTTTTATCTTTTTTATTTATTTCATTATTTATTTATTATCAATTTAACATTGAATTTATATTTATCCAATTGAAATATTTGTGGACTTTGAAAAATCTCATCTCCGCCTGGGATCGAACCTCTGTTTTAAAACTGAAGATCGGGAGCTCTGACCACCCATCCTTGTGAAAGATTTAAACTAACTGTTCTCTTAAGCTATGAGCTGAGAGCGAATCAAATTATTTGGTTGTCGCAACCAAATTTTGGTTAGGACAACAAACGATCATTTGGTTTCTTAGACCAAACTATTTTGTTGTGTTAACCAAATTATTTTGTTGTCGTAACTAAATTTTGGTTGGAATTTAAAAATGTTCAAAATTTTGTTGGCCTAATCAAATGTTTGGTTGAGATAACTCTACGACTTTGTTTCAGCCAAACAAAATTTGGTTACACTCAGAAAAAAATTCGTTTGAAGCAACCAAATTTTGGTTAAATCAACAAAACAAATGCATTGATATATACACACACTAATTTAAAAGTATCAAATTGATACCAAAAATATCAAATTAATATAAAAATTCGTATCAATTTGATATTTTTGGTATCAATTTGATACATTTAAATTAGTGTGCAGTTAACCAAACATTTGATTGCATAAACCAAACGTTTATTTAGCTCAATCAAATTTTTTCTTTGGTCAAAAAATTTATTAAAATAAACCAAACAGTTATTTAGATCAAATAAATATTTATTTGAATTAAAACAAATTTTGTTTGAACTAACCAAAAAATTGGGTAAATATAAAAAAATGGTACATTTGATTCAAACATATCTTTTTTCTGAGTGTACAAGAACCAAAATTGCCTAACCAAACAATTTTGTTGCAAACACTAAATTTTTTTTCTCAGTATATACATTACCTAAATCCTGATATCAAATATCAGAGCTTGATAGATTTTTATTTGTTTGAAATAAAAAATTTAATTTAATTTAAATTTAATTTAACACAATTAGAAAAAATAAAATTTTAATTCGTCATATTTTGTAAGAACAATTTGCTTGATTACATAATTAACAAAAACGACCTTCATTAGAATCGAAACAATAATTATATACAGTTCGAAAAAGAGTAGTTTATTTAGAAGAAGAAAGCTACCCTAATTTTGAACCCACTCTTCTACCTATCAATTAAATCTATATTCAATTTAAGAAACTAAAACTATTTTCATTCAACGAAAGGAATCACTTCAAGAATTTCAGAATTGCCGCCAATAAGGGTCAGTCTGGCCTTAAACTCTATATATTCGCACTGATTTATGGGTAATCGAGACCTAAACGCACCGCCCGCAACAGGGGTAAATGGTTCCTTATTCCTCTTCTCTTCTCTCTCTTTCTACATATATATATATTGAGAGACAGGATCGATTGCGGTTAAACGGAAGAAGAACATAACAGAGAAGAATGAAAAATAATAATAATAAAAAAAATAAAATAAATGCAGAAAACCAAAGAGGAAGAAGGAAGGGGGAGGAGTGGATTTCACGAACCGTGTAAGGAATCCGGGTGGCGATTACGATCTTCATTCGGACGTGTCGTGGCCTCGGGTGGTATTTAGTCTCTAATTTCCGATCAATCAAAACTTTCGAGGAAATAAAAATGAATCATGAAGGTACGCCCGTTTGTGCGAAGGCAAAGGTTTCTCGCCCGTGGGCGGTCCTCGGGGCCAGCGCTAACTAGGGGCAACAATAAGAGTTTTTTTTTTTTCAAAGTTTCAGGTTCGTCAGCATCTTCACCACGATGATTATGATCATCATCATCATCATCATCATCGTGTGTCGAGTGATTTTGAAAGAATGGCGAATATAAAAGAAGACAGAAACCCGGCACGAAAGAAGTGGCGGATTTTATATACAAGCGAAAGGGAATGAGACTATATGCGGAACCAACAAGATGAGAGATAACCTCACTTCATTGGGAGTGAAGAAATAGAAAAAGAGAAGAAATGGCGCGAGATTATTTGCCTCTGCCAACGTAGAAGATGATGTGGGAGAGGGCAGATCTTAAATGTCGATAATAACTATAACTTGGCGTGATCACTGAAAAATGGCTGTCAAAAAATTTTTCATCCTCTTCAAATTACCACGGGGACATTTATTCATTTTCTTAATCAATCGGCTAATCAATCGTTTTATCATTTATTTTTAGTGTTCAAAAAAGTTTTTTCTTCTGAGTTGATCTGATATTTTTTTTTTATCTTTATTAGTTTTCTTTCTACTTTTGAAGAAATGTTAATAGATAAGAAAATGTGATCTTTTTCACATATATCAAATATCATAAAAGAAATTTTTTTTTTTTAAACTTTAGTTAATTTTTTCGATGTAGGAAAAATTTTATATTTTGTTTGTTATCTATATTCAAAATATTTTATCGATTGGAAAATAACTCGTGTAAAATACATTGAAGTATTCTGAAATATCTTGAAATATTTTGCAACTTTTTAAGTATTTGAAGTATTTATTGAATTATCTAAAGTATCCTGATTTATCTGAAGTAAAGGAAATTACACGCATAGAAAAAGTTTGCTGCGAAATATTTGCTGTCACATCAAACACACTAAAAAATAATACTTACTTTCAGTTCACTTTTGACTAAAACCGTTAACATTAGAATCATTTTTACTGAATTTCAGCCTTGAGTGTATGATTTTAAGATCTAAAATTGACTTAATCTAGTTTTAAGATTAAAATTACACTAGTTTTAAGGCATTTTGATTTTAAGATGTTAATGGTTTCAGTATTTGTTTTTTGTGTGAAATACGTTAGCTAATATAGGGACAGCGAACAAATTTGCTGTGGGGTCGAAAAAGTTTAATTTTAAAAAATTGAGACTATTATTGTTTATCACAGCAAACATTTTTGTTATCATAGCAAAAAAATTTAGCAGTGGTTACTAATTTTGATAGATTTTTGATATCGCATTTTTTCAGATCAATTATTTTTTTCATTTTTCAATAAGAAAACAGGATAAAAATATTATAAATAAGAAATATAATAACAGTATTCATATTTTTAAATGAAATGTTTTCGACATATTTACAAAGGGATATAATCTAAGGGGATTGAAATTCTAAACAACTAAATTTAAGAAATACGTTTACTCTCTCTCTATCTGTGGATTTTCTTTTATATATAGTAGCTAGCGCGAGCGCGCATAGTTATAACGCTTTCCGGGAAGAGTACTTTGTAAACTGGTAGTTTTCGTGCGAAAAGCATTAAACGAAGGGGGACCGATTTCTATTGGTAGCATAGAGAAAGAATCAAGTTTTGTTTCTCTTTGCTGTCTTGGGGGACCCTCAATCTTCTAAATAGATGGTTCTACGCTCTTTAGGATCACGAACCAATTGTCGACGCCTGAAGTCGGCTTAACAATTTTCTCCCACTAGAATTCCTTCAAACCGTGAGAGAGCTTTCAAATATGAGGAGAGTCTATAAAAATGCATATATATATATATAAATTTTTTGAAACTTTACCTTTTTATCGTCCAACGATGTTGAATTTGGAACCTGAAATAAAAAAAAATATTTAAATAAAAATCTCATTTCAAATAGATTTTTGGTTAATAGTCTCTTAAAAAATATATTAAAAAATGAATGAATGATAATAAAAAATTACATTTTTTTTATTAGCACTTCTAATTTTTAATTTATTATAAGAGAAAAATATTTTTAAAAAATAATTGAGAAAATTCTTTTCGGACCAAAAAAAAAAGCACACAATCTCATATACGCATCGGTTAAAGTCAAAAACAGCCACCAGGCAGATTATAAACGAGTTCGCGTTAAAGAAAGAATCCTCACAGAGCAAGGGTTGCTTCTGCTATATTTATTTATTTTCTCCTCATCTTCCCTCGCACTCCACTCTTTAACGACCGATATAAATTTCTCGATAAATGGCCACTTAGTAGAGCAACGATGCGATTTTGAGAGATTTTCATTCGTGAAGAAAAATTGTTTCCCTGCCACTAACAGTCATTTAAATGTTATTCAATAATTGTTCAATATTTCAATTTTATTGTTAAGAGAAACAAAAACCAAATTTAAATTTTAAATATAATAATATAAATTTTTTTTTATTATTATATATACTTATAATTACAAACTAATATTTATAATTACTATTATTTTTTATTGTGAATTTTTAATTAAAAATGTCAATGTCATAAAATTCTCATACACACGGGTTTTGATAATTCCAAACGTATCGTTTCTGATTGGAGGATAATTAATCACCGAGTAATCATTAATCATTAGGTATATATATATATATATACATCTTCACTTTTAGTCATTGAATAATCGACACGTTCGTTTAGGGCAAATACCTTGTATTATTTTTATTTTTTGCAAACATTGATGAAGGACATAGATAAATTCCTCACATTCTTTCTTTCAGTGACCCGAACAATTTTCTATATTTCACTATCACTGAATAAAAAAATTTATTTTATTTAATCGGTTATTATTAAATAAATATTCAAATTACTAAATATAAAAAATATTTTCAAAAACAGATGAAACAATACAAACTAGATTCGATTGAATGATATAGCTTTGCAAAAAAGCAGTCAGTGTTTTTTTTTTCTCTTTTTTAAGAGTGGAATGTGAGTTTAACAAAAGAACTCAATTAAAATATTTGAAATTGCTTATTCGCCTTTCATGAAATATAATAATTATAACCGACAAAGAGATGAAAGGATCTCCTGAGGAATATGTTTGAACTGGTGAAAAGCAATGGTGAACGTGGAGAACGCGTATATAGTGATGAACACATAGAGAAGAGAGACAGGGGGGGGGGAGAAGAAAAAAAAAAAAAGAAAAAAAGAGTTGAGGGAACGTTTGAGACGAGGGAGTAAGTCCCGCGTGTTGCCCGGGGGTGCCAACCGCAGGATAATAATTTTATAATTGGGGGAATTACTTCGGCTCGCCGTGGTACAGTCCCAACATATTGTATATTGCGTGGGAGGGCAGTTCAACATTGTTTTAACCGTCTACAAGTAGTTTTATCGATATCTCGAGTGTCTGTATTCTGAACAAGAGAGAGAGAGAGAGAGAGAGAGAGAGAGAGAGAAGCCCTGGGTGAGATATAGCCACATAATCATCGAATCATTATCCCTCAAATACCACCGCACACAAATTCGCGATTCGCCCACGGCCGAATTATGAAATTACTCGCGGTACTCATCGTTAAAAACATTATGAGCACTTTATCAAAAATGGATAGGTCTCGAGACAAGTGTGCACATTCTGCCCCCTAAAGAATGCACTCCTGTCCTAAAATTTTTCAAAAGAGAGAAAAACAGAGAGAAAGAGAGAGAGAGAGAGAGTAAAAAATGATTATATGCCTCTAGAGAGTTTAAATCAATCGACAATAATTGTAAATCAAAAAAAATTGTCTACATAAAAATATTGTTTTTCAAAATATACACCGAAAAAAAAAATATTCTTGTATTCAGAGGAAACTTCCTCTTACAGAATCCTCTTGAATTTTATTCTTAAAACAAGAGTATTACTCTTTAAATGAGTATATTTTCCTCTAATTTCAAGAGGATCGAAACAAAAGGACTATATTCTAGAGCATTCCTCTTATATTTAGAATAATCTTTTTAGAATAAAAATAATACTCTTAGAATTTAGAATAATCTTCTATGTTTAAGAATATTCCTCTAAATTCTAAGAGGATTTCCCATAGAAAGTCGCTCATGCGCAAAAATGATTGCGTCATATCATTTACGTCGCGTCATAAATCGCATATCATGCGTGAAAAAGTTTTAGTTTCTGTGTGAAAAAAAAGGGAATAAACCAAAATGGATAATAAGCTTTTAAATATCTTGCTAGAGTTGCAACTTACACAATACGTGTCTATTTTTGAAGGTAAAAGAAATTTTTAAGAAAATTTAAATAATTTTGAGGTTGTGTTATTTAAAATTTTATTTTATTACGATTTTTATTTAACATTTATTTAAAATAAATTTTCAAATTTAATGAATTATATGTTTTGCGCATAAAAATATTATACATATATTATTATAATATAGATTATATCTATGACATACAAACTATACACGGAGAAAAAAGATTTCTTTTATAAAGTAACTTTTACTACTTTCAGAGTAAAACTGGACCAACTCGAAGTTTCTGCGCATCTCTGGCAATTTTTACTCCAAAAATAGTAAAATTTACTCTAGAAATAGTAAAACTTACTACGGAAACAGTATAATTTACTACAGAAATAATAAATTTTACTATTTTTGGAGTAAAAATTGCCAGAGATGCGCAGAAATTTCGAGTTGGTCCAGTTTTACTCTGAAAGTATAGTAATAATTACTTTTTCTTTTTCTCCGTGTATGATTGCATTTTTATTATTTCAGAGTTCTTTTTAAGATGATATTTTCCTCTTAAAATAAGAATATCCTCCTAAATTAAGAGAAATAATTTTACATAGAGGGCAATCCACTTAAACCTAGAGGACATCCTTTTGCAGCATATACTAGAGGAAAATATGCATTGAAATAAGAGGAATCCTCTTGAAACAAGAGGATTTTTTTTGGTGTATTGTTTGGCAAAAAGGTGTAAATTCACTTTCTGAAAGGACAAAATGTAATTTTTTTTTTTCGTATTTTGGAAAAAAAATTAATTAAGACAAAATTATAAAGAATACAGGAAACTAACGGTGATTTTTGTCAATTGTATACAGGTATATATATATATATATATATCCTTTCAAGGATCATATAAAAAGAAGAAAAAAAAATTGTCAACAGTGTCATTTTTCATGTATATCGGTGCGAATAAAAAAGGCGGGAAGTGGCAGACCGACCGTGAAACGCGCATATTTCTTTTTATGAATACTTTGTGTATATACATATAGATTATTATATTATACCTTCAAGGTTGAAAAATTTGTGGTTTTTTTATATATCAAAAACTAAATAAATAATATAGCAATAACAATAGTAATTTTAATATAATGATAATTAAAATTTTTTTTTGAAATATTATTCTATGAGAAAAATGTCATTTAATCTTCATCCGAGAGAAAATTCCATGTAACAGAAAAGAAATTCCCTTCATCAGACTACAATTTTCAGTTTCTTTTTGAAAGGACACGTCTGATGTCCTCGCAGTTCATTTCATCAAGTGTCAAAATAACAATTTCCTCTCAAGTGGTGATAATTTTTTTGTTTTTTCGATCATCATTTTTTATTCCTTTCTTAACATAAAAAATAGCGAAAAATATCTATGGACCAGGTGTAAATTTTGAAAAAATTTACGGTGCACAACTCACAATTATAAAATGTTCGAATAGGAGTCGCGGATGTCCGAGGTTGGTGTTGCACATCAGGCATTTTACAATGAGGAAAACGATGATTGGTTCGCACGAAGAATAAAAGAATATAAAGAAGAATAATAATAATAATAAAAATAATAATAATACTGAAAAAAGAAGAGACGAGTTATAAGGAATAAAAGAAGATAGAGAGAGAGGAGAGGAGAGGAAGCATCCGTATTTCGAGGAGAGGTCGTTGGCTAGTTGCTTGGAAATCGAAATAATGAGGCATCGTCTCCTTCGCTATAGTCATTGGATCACGTGCTTCTGTGGTCGCGATCATTTCCCATTATTATTATTATCATCGATCGCCGTGCCTACCCTGTCGATATTGCGACGACTCGCAATGAACTCGATCGAAATAACTCGACTTTACCATTGGGGAGAATAAATTTAGTTCTTATTCTCCTTCTGGAATTTTCTGTTCATCTTTTGTTCATATCTATTACAAAAAAAAAAAAAAATTTTCTAGCGCTTATGAATATTCCCCAATCACTAATTTTACAATTTCTATTTGACAGAAATAAGAAAAATTTAGCCGAATTTTTATTTAACCAATATAATATTTGATTCAGATTTTATTTAGCTATTTAGCATTTTAGTTAATTACTCTCTAAATCTGAATTAGTAAAAATGTTTACTAATTTAAATTAGTGACTCACTTTTTGCTTTAGAATTAGTTAAATTTTACTAATTGATAGTAAAAGTTACTAATAATTAGTAAAATTTTACTAATTGAGAAGCAAAAAGTGAGTCACTAATTCAAATTAGTAAACTTTTTTACTAATTCAGATTTAGAGAGTAGTAATTTGGCTAAATGTAAGTTAATTATTAATTCGGCTAAATAATTATTCTGTTGAACGCAAATTTGGTTAAATAACTGTTTAAATAGAAATCAAAATCACATCAAATTCAACTATTTACAATTTCAGTTAATAATTTAGCTAAATTAAAGTTTAGTTAAATGTCAATTCGGTTAAATAATAATTCGGCTAAATTAAATATTCCCGCAGATGTAAATTTGACATTTATATTTTGTAACGTATTCTAAAAAGAAAAAAAATCTAAGAAACTATAAATTTGCTCCATCTAAGATTTTCTTTTTTTTTTTAAAAAAAAAGTACAAAACGGATGGCAAAAATCTTGTTAACTGATTTTTCTCATCCACTTAGGTAGA